TCTTCTAGCCAAAATGTAGGCTAATAATAATAATGACAATTATTATTTGCATTTATAACTATACATGAGTTCACTTAAGACAGTAATATGTTTATCAAAAAATAATTTATTCATGTTTTATTTTTATATAACTTAACGTTTTACAGTTTTTTTAAAATGTTTTTGTTTTAGGCTACCCTATATTAATTTTTTATATGTGAAGTCTTTTATTGCTTAGCCTATATTATACTGAGCTTTTTCCTCCTAAAAAATTGACTTTAAAAATACAACTAGGCTAAATGTCGTTTTTTTTAAAATTCAAGAAATTATCCATTTTGAAAAATAAAGTTTAAACACAATGGTATCCCGTGCATCCCGCACTTTTCTTTTGATAACGTTTTTTTTTTTCCCGGTTAAAAATTATTATTATTTTTTATTTTTATTTTTATTTTTTATGCTTTATTGTCAACAACAGGTGGCATGTACAGTGTCATATCTCATATAACAAACAAATAATTCACATGCCTCCAAACTACAAATTATCGCCACTGCATCCTCTTCCAGACGAGGATGCAGTGGCGATATGCTCGGGACGGGAGTCAAATCGGTTCGTGTGTGATGTGTTGATTTTGCCGTGTGGCTGCGCACCACACACTGTACGACCAAAACTGTTAGACCCGTGATTTTTTATCGCCGTGTGTGGGGTCTCTCAGGTTTGTAAAATCGGCCGACAATTTTAAAATCGTCCCGTGTGAACCAGCCTTTAGGTACGCTGTCTAGGAATTTCTCCCACCTAGCGGTGAAATTTTATTTTGCATCCAAACGAATAGTGCTTTCTAGCGCCTCGCTTTTTTTTTTGGGTGTTGCAACTACGGTAACCGTTATGTGCCAAGAAGCGACGACATGTCTTCCAATAGCACTTCATCGAGTTTAACTATACATCTTCTACTGTTATGCTGTCTATATAATGAATTACACAACCACAGAATGAAAAAAGCGTGTAAATTAGACCATAACATTGACTTACCTGTCCAGAAGAAAGCAGGCAACTTCAGCGTCCCTTTCAAAGTCTCTCTCTGTCACGGACGGTCAAAAAGTGAAGCGAGAATTCATGTGCAGGAAACTTAGGATATTTATTTTAAAAAACAAAACTACAAACCAAAACTCCCCGTGGGGGAAAACAAGACAGGCGGCATCAAACAAGAAACACGATGGAACATAGACAACGAACCAGCACAGGACTGCAAACACAGGGAGACTAAATAGGAAGCAAACAAAAGAAGGTAACGAACAAGGCACTGGCAGGTGGGGCAAATTAATCAATCAGGTAACAAGATGGGAGGGGCCAGACAATTGACAGGAGAGCACATGGCACAAGGAATACAAGACAAGCCATGTGCTCACAACAAACCAGACTAAACACAAACAAATGACAAACCGGGAATGTCAGAGCTCTGTCACCAAACCAGATATAAACCAAACAGAGGTAACAGAAACCCTGACACTCTCCTTCATTAGCTCTATCCACCTGGGAAAGGCTATCCCGATATTTACCCTCGTTTTGAATTTGCCGGACATGTTTCCCTTTAAATAATTTTTTTATGCTTTATCGAGGATTGCATAATGAAGTACCGTGCAGTGCAGCCTTTCAAGCGCCTCTCACTGACCTCCTTGGCCGCTTCAGATGGTTTCAGTCAGCCGGCTCTGAACAAAAAGATAGGCTAGTTGAGGTAGGCTAGTGCTTTTTGTCCCTCTCTGCTATTATAGTTTTTCAAGATGGCGGAACGACATGGAGGCCTCCATGGACTTACCCGTACCATGTAAATAAAGATAAGAAATTCTGCGCTTAAAGGTGCAATGTGTAAAAAATTCGAGTATCTATTAACAGAAATGCAATATGACATCCATAACTATGTGTTCAGTGGTGTATAAAGAACTTACTTAATAAACCGTAATGTTTTTATTACCTTAGATTGAGGCATTTATATCTACATAACCGCGGGCACCCCCTTCTATGAAGGTCGACATATTGTGACGTCATGTTTCTACCGTAGCCGACAGCGAACAAACAGCGTTACAGAGCGCGTTTCGTCACTACCTTGAAAGAGAAGCAGCAGAAAGCTAGAAGCAGAAAGCTAGAAGCTAGCCATAAACACCGTGAGTAGTGACTTTTCCCTTGTCAGTGGTGTAAAATATGTAGTTGGATAGGCTTTATGCCGAGCGTCACGTGACCAAACCGGAAAACAGGTCTCATTGCATCCGCTTGTCAGAGAAAGTGTTAACGGCCGTAAGAACTAACTACGATATCTATGGATTTTTAAGGTAATCAGCTAACCTATTAAGTTCACTTTGTTATTGGTGTTTTATGCTGTTTAAATATCTAAACGTTAGTGTGAAGAAGAAAAATAAAAAAACTTTTAAATATCAATCTGCACATGCGAGGGACATTGGTTGTGCTCATTTTTGCGTGCTCCTTTTAAGTTATCTTGAGTAAAACCGCAAAAAATTTCATGAAGCACATACAAAAGACCTGAATCGGAAGCGATGTGACCTGTTTTCCGGCTTGGTCACGTGACGCTCGGCATAAAGCCTATTGTTTCATGTAACTTAGTTCTTCTCCCTCGCTGTGTTATGGCTTTGCTATGTGGGGATAAATGTGCTGGTTACGTTCGTGAGACAGCTGATTAGTACTCTTGTCATTGACCGTAAAACAGTAACGTTACAGGAATCACCAACCCGTCGATCGCGGTCGACAAGTCGATCTTGGAAGCATTTTAAGTCAATCGCGAAGAGTTTTCAAAATCAGAGCAAAAAAGCCTATTGTGTGTAGTAAATGGTGTCTAGGGGATGCGGAGGCGCGCGCGCTGTTACAATCATGTCATTTTTGCCGCACGCGCCTCTGCGCTCATGCGGACGCGTCGAGTTTAAACAAGGCTTTACGCTTTAACCAGCTCAGCCACAGTAACAGCTCATATTAGCCAGCTAAACTTTTACTACCCTGTTAGAAAAAATATATAGTTGCATAGTTTCATGTGGTTCTTCTCCCTCACTGTATTATGGGTTTGCTATGTGGGGAGAATGTGCTGGTTACGTTTGTGAGACAATCAGCTGATTACTATTATTATATTATATATTAAGACCCTTGGTCCTCACCTGACTATGGCTTTGTAAACTTTATCCATGATGTGGTTTATAATGGACTGTGGTACAGAAACAGTGACAATGTTACACACTCTTGGTTTACACTGGCTATTCTCTGCTGTCTCAGACGACAATATGTTTGTCCCGTTGTAGCCACCGTAGCTTCTTCGAAAGGGAGGGGTGAGCGGTGGGCTGAGCCCTTAGTCCAACTCGCAACCGAACCGCTAGATGTCGCTAAAAAATGCAAGGGCACCTTTAAGAGGAAAAGTCAGAACATTGACAGAGCTAATTTTACACCAATAATATCATATTTATGAATAAATACATTGATTTTAGCTAATAAAATACTTTTTAAAAAACTACTGCACCTTTCATTTGAGATGTGTAATTACAAAACAGCATTTTTTCAACCGAGTAAATCTACCCTTTTCTCTGCTGGCCATTCAATATTAGCAATACTTAGCAATTACCTCCACCAGCTCCTCATACACTGGGGAAAGAAATGGTGAATCCTCTTCCCCCGTGATTGTGTCACTTTCAATGCCCAGTACATCTACCTCCTCGGAGGTAGAGCACTGAAGCATTGGTCTCTCTCCCCAGGCGGAAGTAACCGTGGCGCGGGCTTCCGATACCGGAGAGAGAGCAATGGATCCCTCGGGAAAGGGAGGAGAAAAGATCCTCAGACCCGTCTCCAACCCCGTAAAGAGACTCATTTGCAATCCTCAGGAATGCATTCTCCGCGCTGCCTCGGCAGACACGGGTCCAGCACCCTGAGAACATAAGACATAAGATCTCGTTATTACGACATAATTGAGTGGAAAAAATAATATGTATGTGGCAGCAATGCGTCACCGTACTAAGTGAATGAAAACATCCTGCAATTCCCTACATAGTCCACTAATACTGTTCACTTGAAGTAAATGAAAAGGAGTGAGCGTACATCGGTTGTACATGTTATTGCAGTGCAATGTGGGATTGAATTAGTGCACTAGATAACATCCACTAAGGTTTTGGACACCACTACAAATGGCTGTCCCTTCAAATAATGCCCTATTTGAGGGTATAGGGGGCGATTTCGGATTCAGCTCTTGTATTTGCAGTCCTGTGCCAGATCGTCTTTGAATGTCTACTTTTCAAAAATCCCTCTTGGTGTTTTCCAGCCGCAAGTCAAGTTGGTCATGTTATCCCTCTCGGGGTAGTTTCTGATTGTTTTGTTGTTGTTTTTTACTAAATAATAAGCCCATTTATCTGCAGTACTGATTCCTCGCCTCATCCCTTCACACCAACCCTGACAAATATATATATAAAGTGGATCAAATGTTGACATACTGTATCTCACTAAGATGCAATTTTATACTATTTATTACGTACATAAATGGACCATGGTTAACATATTTAGACAGGTTGTGAACCCTGTTTTGATTTTAGGCAGTTGAATATAACTTTTAACAAAGTCCAGTACAAACGTTACTGCCGCTCATTAACGGCAGTTATCACTGTTGCTAGGCGTCAAGAACACCCCATTTAACAATGCTCAGTGTGACCTTCGCGGCCTTCGAAGGAATGGCCTTTGAATTGGGACACAGCCTGTGTGTTCTGCATGCCTGCTTGCTTACCTGCATACTTGCCTACTTGCATACTCATCAGTAATCACGCCACCGGCCTCGTGCCGCTCTCTCACGGCCCTCGGCCTCGTCCTGCTCGCCACACATGTGCTGCCTGCTCTCAGTTAGGAATATTTGGTGATTTGTCTGTAAGGGCTGAAAATGTTGTCATCACTTACTCACCCTCAAGTTGTTCCAAACCTGTTTGAGTTCCTTTCTTCTGTTAAACACAAAAGAAGATATTTAAAATGTAACTCGTTTTCTTCTAATTTACAGGGAAGATCATGAAGAAACTCCTGGAAAATTTGGGTTTGGCAGAGTGTTATGGCAAGAAACTCACTCTCCACAGAGTGCTGCAGATCAACAAGAAGAGTGTGACAGATGTGCCTGCCCAGTCCCTTTCAGATCTGCCATGGCTGTTCTTGAAGAGACTGATGTTGCTACAAAGGACAGCGAGGATTGTTAAGTGTTCCTCAATAGATGAGGCAGAAGTTTCAGGGTGGGATGATGATCAGGATAGTGCTGAGTCAGACTGTCCTCAGTCAGTAAACCCTTTAGACGTTTTGACTGCTGTGTTTCTTTGTTCTGACAGTTTTCTTCAGCAGGAAATGATCATGAAAATGTCCATGTGTCAGTTTGCGATTCCTCTGCTGCTTCCAAACAGTGATAACAATCAGATCACGCTTATGCTTTGGGCAATGAGAGATATTGTGAAAAAATACAGACCACACTCCCTGTCAGATCCAACTGGATTTGTGGAAGAAAGGATTGTTCTCTCAAAACTACCATTAGTGTCTTTTGTGAGACTTGGCAGGTGCAACATATCCAAATCAGAAATTTTGAATAAAGTGCTCAGCAATTCACAACAGTACACCGATACCTTTGTGCACTTCAACATGAGTTGTGGAAACATCAAGAAGAAAATATCAAATGGCTTGGTTGAGTTGGCTTGGTATCTTCCTTGTGGAAATGAAAACATTGATGTCTTTCCAGAGCCAATAGCAATTGCAAACTTGAGAGGTGACATCCAGGACTTTGAAACACAGTTCTCTTTTCTTTGTGAGGCTTCAACTGCTGTGTTTGTGTTCTTTGAATCCCAGTTTTTAGATACACAGTTAATTTCAGTGCCCAGTCAGAAACCTACGCCTCAGCTATTTTTTGTGGGAGACTCCAACAACAACAGCATAAAAGCTACAGTCGACAAGCTCAATCTAAAGAAAAGCAATTTCATCTTTAAAGCCAGCCAAAATGATGCAGACTTCATTCACAAAATTCAGAGCAAGTTGCAAGACACAATTAATAACAATAATCACAAAACCTCAGTTGTTCGTTTAGCTGAGATTGCACGAAATCTGGGAATCTCGGTGGACGAGGATGGTGAAGGATGTCAGTGTGCAAAAAAAAGTGCAGATGAAATCACATCAAAAATAAAGGATATAGTGCAGTTCAAGAAGGAGGAGCTGCCCTTGCAAGGAGAGATCTTGATGAAACTGGCCAAGTTAGAGAAGGAGGAATGCAGACTGAAGAACATTGATGATAAGAAGATTGATGACTACAAAAATGAACTTCAGATGCAGAAAAAGAAACTCAGAGAAGAGCAATGCAGCAAAGACATGTCTCCCACTATGAGCTGCTTCATCAGTGCAATATCAACACCAGAAAGGGCCTACTTCTTAAAATGGTTGAGAATCACCCTAGAGAATCGATCCCATGAAATACTGCCTAAACTCAGAGAACAGTACAAACAGAAATGTAAAGATGTTTGTGGAAACAAGGCAGAAATTGCTGAGCTTGATAAAAAGATTTCAAACAGTTCTTTAGGAGTGGAGCACTTCATTCGAGAGATGAGCCAGCTTTACGAGGCTGCAGTCTCGCTTCCAGAAGATGCACTTTACCGAAAACAGCTGGAAACCTTACCTAGACTCTGTGCTGAACTACTATTGGATGGATTTTCACTTGAACTAGTGGATGGAGATTCTTCAAATATCCCTGCAAAATGGCTTTCTGGTGTGTTTTCCGAGTTAAACACACGGGTGGAGTCCAAAAACAGGATTAAGGTTTTGACAGTTTTGGGCGTCCAGAGTTCAGGAAAGTCAACGCTGCTGAACACCATGTTTGGAGTTCAGTTCGCTGTAAGCAGTGGAAGGTGCACCAGGGGAGCCTTTATGCAGCTTATCAAAGTAGCAGATGATCGCCAAGCAGAACTCAAATGTGATTATATAGTGATAATTGACACCGAAGGACTGAAATCCCCTGAGCTCGCACAACTGGACAACAGCTATGAACACGACAATGAGTTGGCAACTCTTGTTGTTGGACTGAGTGATGTGACAATTGTCAACATTGCCATGGAGAATTCAACAGAGATGAAAGACATTTTACAGATCATTGTTCATGCCTTCCTCAGGATGAAGGAGATAGGAAAGAAACACACGTGTTTGTTTGTACACCAGAATGTTGCTGATGTCTCGGCTCATGATTCAAACATGAGAGACCGTAAATTTCTGTTGGAACAGCTGGATGAAATGACACAAGCTGCAGCCAAAATGGAGAACAAACAGAAATTCAGCAAATTTACACATGTGATGAACTATGACACTGTGACGGGTGACCACTACATCCCTGGATTGTGGCATGGAAACCCCCCAATGGCACCAGTGAGTATTGGCTATAGTGAGTCTGTGTATGATCTCAAAAAGCATATAATGGAAATCTTCAAAGGTTACGAGTCCTACAACATCAATGAATTTCTTAAATGGACCAAAGACTTGTGGACTGCTGTGAAATATGAGAAATTCATCTTCAGTTTCAGAAATAGTCTGGTGGCTGATGCATACATGAAACTGTGCACAGAGTACAACAGATGGGACTGGACACTGAGAAAGCAAATGCACACATGGGCGTTAGAAGCTGAAACCAAGATCTTAAACCACGGAAAATTTGAAACCTCTGAGAAGTGCAGTGTTGAAGATGTGCGTTATCGTTTACTACAGGAAACAGAAGATAAGCTTTCAGAAGGACAAAATGAAATTAATGACAAGATCAAATCATACTATGAACAAGGAGAAGGTCATGTTGAACTAGTGGAAAATTATCGACACGACTTTATAAACTCTGCCATGTCTTTGAAGAAGGAACTTTCAAATTCGGTCAGAAGCAAACTGGATGCCGCTGTTTCACGTCGAAATGGAATGATCAAAGTGGAAGGAATCAAAAAGACATACATGGACACAATGGAGGAAAAAGTGCTAAAATTGCTGAAAAAATGTCGTGAGAAGAAGTCAGACATGTCAGACTCCATGCTGGATGAAGCTTTTGAAAACATGTGGCAGGAGACTGTCAGGACACTGCCAGACACAGGACTCGAACATCAAGATATCAGGACAAGAGTTTTACGTCATTTGATGATAAATCTTGAATCTAGAGGAAGTTCAATGGCTCAACGCTTAGATGAAGTGAAAGATTTAAACAGCCATGGCCATGGAAAGTTTATTGCCTACAAAGGTAACTTTATTTCCAAAAGGGTGCACGCTAAATGGATCAAGACAGTTCAAGAGATGTCAGACAACCTTATCAGTGATTGTCAGAAATTTGCTAAATTAAAGAGGCAAAGTAAGGATGATTATGATGACACATATATCAGGGAAATTCTTAACATGATTGATGAGAAACTTAAGGCTCATGAAGATCTTGAGCTAAAGGAAGATTTTGAGCTGACCCTTAAACTGCACATATGTGGCTTTGCAAGCAGAGCATTTCAAGAGATTCACAATCAATTCATCAAGGAAAATAACCCACGAACAGCCTTGGAGAACTTCAAACAAACATACCGCTCTGACTTCATTGATCTTTACCGTGAACGAGACCAGTGTCAGAGGAAAGCTGATGAATTCATGAGAAACTGCCTAGAACCTGCCTTGGAAAGATGTATTTCAGAGAACTTGAGCATGAAAATGGCAGACAAGATGGTGACTGGTGAAAACATAGCAGTTTTCGGATCAAGAACAACATTTCAGATTTCAATCTTGAAAAATCTTCTCGATGAATCTAAATTTGAAACATATTTGTATTTCATCTCGTCATATGAAACATTTGTTAAAGCCTTTATTTTGGACAAAATCAAAAAGCATTTTTCAGCAGAGAACAGAATGGTCACAATGGAGGAGAACCTCGTCAATGAAGTCATCAGTGAAATCAAACAGGCCATTGAAAAGGCAGAGCGAGACCCAAAGATAAATGACATCAAGGTTTTTTTTGAGAACATTTGTAGTGAACTTGCAAAAAGGCTTGTTTTTCCCAAGGACGCAGTGGACAAAATCAGCACACTGAACAATGCAAATCCCCAAAAAATTGCAGAATGCCTTCAATGTTCTGTAATGGACATGGATAAATCACTGAAAGCAAGTTTCCAAGCAAGAGATTTTCAAAGCAAAATAGATTGTCTTCAAACCAAACCACAGGATCTGCTGTTCAAACGAGTGCATGGCTGTGGGAAACAGTGTCCATTCTGTAAAGCACCATGTGAGGCTGGAGGAGACGCTCACACTAAACACTTTGTCTCAATGCACAGACCAGAAGGTCTCGGCCGCTGCAGATGGGATGATTCTAAAAAACTAGTGACCGACATCTGCTCTTCTTCAGTGTGCAGCAACTCAAGGTTTAAGTGCCAAGACACCAAGGATCAGTGGCATCCATATAAAGAATACAGCAAAATCTATCCAGACTGGCGAATCGATCCAGACCCCAGCATAGAGGCCTCAGCATACTGGAAATACGTGATGGCAGAATTCAATACGCAGTTTGCAGAGGAGTACAAAGCAAAGCCTGCAGAAATAACCTGGGGGGAAATCACAAAGGAGGATGCAGAGAAAAGCCTAAACATCAATTAACTATCTCTGTCCTCTGTTTAAATCAGTTTGGTATGATGGTAAGAAAACTTAAAATTCACACCTTAAAATCCAAGTTTCCGTGAATATTAACTATGACAACAAATGAAGAAAAAAAAATCCTGCTGGTTTCAATATTAATCATAGTATATCCTGACTAATGCATGAGTGCCATTATACAAAAAGTTGCTTGCACTTGCTCTTGCCTGGTAATAAGAAAACATGAAGAATATATAATCTAAGCTAAGTGTTTTCTTCCAGTAAAATAAAGATGTGTATTATAAATGTAAACCTGTAGTACTAATTCAAATGTTGTGGTATACTCTTAGTGACAAATAATTATTTTACCTATACATGCACACTGTAAAAAGTGCTACACCCACAAAGTAGGTTTTATATATTTTAAATATTTATAATCTAGTTTATTTTATTGGTTTTATACAAAAAAGTATCAAAATACTTCCTCTTTACTTAAAATATATCAGTTTTTATATAACAATATATTTTAAATAAAACCCATGCAATTTATTTGGGTAGTTATTTGAATGTGGTTGTTGTGTACAATAAATGTTATAAAAGTGAGTTGACAATGCACAATTTATTTGAGCAGCTGTTGATGTGACAGGTGTGTTCATCAAACGTAAATATTTTAAATTTTATAAGTTGGCATTATCCCTTTTTCACTGGCGGGGACTCCAGGCAGATGCAATATCTTCCTCTGGACTTCAACTGTTTGGTCGCTGCAGCGGATCTGAATTTCAAGGTCTGATTAACACGGTAAGTTGAGCAAATTTAGCCGAATGACTGGTGATGTAAACTAAAGTCACGCAAAATCGCTTACTCCACTAGGGAGCTGAGGTTAGGTTTGCAAATTGTAAAGCTAGCTATCCTGCACACATGGTAAGCTAAGATGGCTGCACAGTGTGGTCGATCGGCAGACAACAGCAGTGTTTAAAGCAGTGTTGTACACATACAAGTTACGTATGTAATAATTAGTTGCACAAATGCCCTCAGTTATATAGTTTGAGATTCCACAGATTAAATTTCGGGATCGTATTGCGAACTGTCGCAATTTCGAGCCTTCAGGCAATAGTTGTGCGGGCAAATAAGGGAAAGTAAGATGTGATGTTTTATGGACAACACTTTGTTTTGTGTGTTGTGTGTCTGACAGGACTCAGAGATTATGTTATTATACTTTTGCATTGCTAAAGCAGATGCACAGATTAGACTGTAGAGATGTATGTTTAGTAGTCTGTCTGATTTTAGAGATTTGATCCACGTTATTTTAATGCTGCATAGTCAATTAATGACAGATTTTTGGTCTAGATTTTTTAACTATTTCTAACCTATTACTTAAAGGAGTTACATTTACAACTGATTTTTTAACCTTATTTCTAACATCTAATATTTTCCCGGTCTTTAGATACCCAAGCACTTTTGTTACCTGGGGTCTTCGAGCTTCACATCCAGGTAAAACAAACTTCAGAATAGATTCAATTACAATTTGATCAGATTATACGTGTTCTGTAAGTCCAATAGACGTTCAGGGAACCTCCATACAAGGTTAAAAACTAGTTCAGATGTGGACATATTTTATGTAATTTAATGTCTCATTTAGACAATTTAAACTGTTTCTGGACCAAATAAACACTTTCAGGATGCATTAAATTAAAACTCATGTTTATTTCAACGTAATTTCTAATTGCAAAGCAACTCACAGACAGTGTGTGTTTGTCCAAAAATCATGAAATCATTACTGTCTACTTAGGGCAGCAGCTTAAGGTCCCTGGTTCGAATCTGATTTCTCTCACGATCCAAATATGTATAAATTACAGATGCTAAACTGTCTAAAGGTGTCAGTGCGTGTTTGTCCAAAAATCATGCAAATAAACTTCACTGTCTGTGAATTGCTTTGCAATTACACATGGCAATTACATTGAAATAAATGTGAGTTTTAATTTAATATATCCTGAGAGTGTTTATTTGGTCTAGAATAAGTATAAATTGTCCAAATGAGACCTTAAATGATGTTGAAAATTGTCCACATTGTCCACATCTGAACTAGTTTTCAACCTTGAATGGAGCTTCCGTGAACGTTCATTACAGAACACCTAAAAAAAAGTCGTAAAAACTTTCATTCTGGCTCCTCAGTGGACGTCTTTTCAATGTACGTCTTTGTGACAAAGACGTTGAAAAGATGTCTTTTGGACATAATTTTGCTTAGTGGGTTCATTAATATTGTGATGATATGGGGTGATTATGTTTGCTCTTGAAAGATATTTAAACTCTGTAGCTTAATTAACAGTAATGTGATGACCAATCAGGTACAGGCAAGGACAATTGCATTTGTTTTATTGTAATGCATCCTTTGAACCAGAAAAATACAACACTCATGCTAGAGTAGATCATGATACTTTAGTACCCACACTCTATGGCATTGTCATGGTAGACTTCACTCTGGTCACATGTTCTAGTCACAGTATCCATCTTGTATCCACCACCTTTAGCAACAAAAGTACAATTTGGACTTTGTGTCTTATCTCTTCTACCTGTCTGCTATATTCATCTCATTTCCTATTTGTCTGACCAAACTCTTGTTTCTTTTTTGTCTCCACCAATAGAGTCGGGCTGAAACAGAGGTGAACGCTGAGCTTGGCAGTTGCCCACTGAAAATTTACATGTGCCATCACCCCGACACGATTGGGATTATCATATAAGGACAGCCCGTGGTCAGAGGTGTGCCAAACCTGTCGAAAGCATGCTGCCTCCTGTTTGAACTTACCTATGCTCTCGACCTCAAGTATCCCTCAAAACTGTTGTATACTTGAGATATATCAGAGGCTTTTTGTAGGATTGGACCCTGTGCGTCCTAAACCATCATCATGTCATTTTTGACATTGCAGTTCCAGTGTGATACAATGTGATGTTATGGCTCACATTTACCTTGATCCAAACATTTCAGATTGGTCAGTTTGGATATTTCACTGTACTGTTCAGAACAGGTTGAAAATACACTTCTACAGTGTTTGTTTTATATTAGAGTGTACATGTGCGGCCACATTTATTTGCTGTTTTGTAGTCACTGTTAAAAGTGACACTGGTTGACATTGAATAAATTATATATTGTTTTCAATCTATCTTCTCATCTTTTTCTTCTTCAATTGAATTTGTAATTGTTATTGACAATAATTTTTTTTTTAAATGTTTATTCACATATGATCAAGTTAATTTTACGAAGAAAATAAAAGAAAAAAACCTAATTAAAATGAGTACAGGTTACTTGTAGCAACCCATAAATAAGTTACCTGTACCAAGAAAAGTAGGTTTATCTAACTGAGTAATACTAGTACTATTAGTTAACTCAACTTGATTTTGTTGCGTTTGTATAAAGTAATGTTAAAGTGTTCAATATACTTAAAAAAGGCTGCAAGTTGAATCAACATAAAACATCCAATGCAGCCACTTGCCTCACTTTTTATAAGTTAGATCTAGGTATTACTTTTTACAGTGCATGAATTCTTTTTGATTTTTATTCATGTAACTGTGAGGTGTTTTCTGTTTGTGATTGTGATTTTGATTTGTGTTGTGAATGTATCTCTGTTAAGAGTGGTTGTTCTGTGACTCTTCATATACAGGCATGTCTGTATCCGTTAGGTCACAACACTGCTGTCGTCGGGATCAGTTTAATCAACATTTGAAGCATTTGTCAATGAAATCAGTGTAACCTGAATAAATGTTGCCAGCATCAGAGTTGTTTTGTAACTGTTATTGTTAATAATATATTGTCTGTCTTGCATCTACAATTGAACAAAGTCACCACCATTAAACAATCATCTAAAGATATTGGAAATATCAAACTTCTATACACATTTGGGTCTATATTAAGCCATCTATTGGACTCACAGGGAATTTTAATGTCTTCTGCATTTAGCCTCCAACACCTCCTTCCTGCAAGTAGTTGTTATTCCTTTTACAATGTATGTGGGATAGAGTTGCCTAAAATCTATATGATTTAGATGTTTAAAGATATCTAAAATGTCCTGCAATATTACAAACAAAGGTGAATGAACATTAGCAATGACAACTTAAACTTTAAAACTAAACCTTTGATTTTAAATTATGAACCTTTGTCTTACAAAATGCAATAAACTGCATAAAATAGAGTTGATGATGCTCTATCGATACATTTACTTAGTCAGTGATACTCAACTCCACCTCTCTGCACATTTTTAATTTAACACACCTGATTCAGTTCATCATGAGAGCTCTATGAACTGAATTGTGTATCTGATAAGAGAGACAACATGCAGAGCTGTGGTCTGTCCCCAGGTTGAAAACCACTGTTCTAAGGAAACATTTAATGATCATCATTGATGATTTGATCAATTAAAAAATAACCTCCTTTTAATCACCTCCATCTGCAAACAGACATTGAATCAAGGAATGCATACACTGTATACCAAACTCATTCCCTCAGTCAGATGCTGAATTCAGAACTGCATCTTAGCATAATCTTACTATTTTCCTATAACTTTCTATTACAAAAATAGTTGGGAGTAGTCTGTTTGCGATTCTGAATTCAATTGTCTGTCTCATCTCGAAGGGGTCACATATGTCATCGAGGTTAATTTCAGAAAAGTAGCCATTGTAAAATTGAATGTTAATTCAATTAACATTCAATTAACCCCCCCCCCCCCCCCCCCCCCCCCCCCAAAAAAAAAAAACTGAAGAAAAAAGAAAACGAAGAAAAAAAAATCAAATCTCCATTGCAGGTACAGTCTCAACAAAGGAAAGAATAGGATTCCACATTTTATAAATGAGTTAACAGTCTCTGATGGAGTGTTTGATTTTTTCCAGGTGTAGAAAGGACATTAAGTCCTTCAGCTAAGAAAAATTAGAAGGGGGGCATGAGGATTTCCAATGCAACAGTGCAATCTTCTGGCTTTACCAATGAAGCAAAAGCAATAATATCAGCATGGCACTTGTTGTACAAGCCATCAACAGCTGTTATTCCAAAAATTGCAATTATTGGGCAGGATCTTACAGAGCCATTAAGAGCCTTTGACAGTGTAGCAAAAAAACAAGACCAGAATGAATACAATTTAGGATGAAATGTATGAGTATGATCTGCTGGGGATAGCGAACATCTATTGCACCTGTCATCTTCTGTTAAAGAAAGTTTCTTCAATTTTGCTTTGGTGAAATGAATTCTGTGAACAACTTTAAACTGAATA